CGATGACACCAATCAAACCCAGCCCCTCCCACTCATATATCTGTCCAATCTCTTCTTAAAGCTACCCAAGGCCCTAGCCTCTATCACCCTACTGGGAAGACTGCTCCACGCATTAGCAAAAAAAAAAACAGTACTTACCTATGTCCTTTCTAAATCTAAATTTATCCAACTTAAATAAATTATTTCGGGTTCTTGCCTGGTTCGACACCCTCAGTACTTTATTAATATCTCCCTTGTTTATGCCTGTCATCCACTTATACACTTATTCTACGCCTCTCCACGCCTCATACGGGAGGTTCCTTACACAGTGAATCATTTTAGTCATTCCTCTCTGTACGTTTTCACCGTATTGCAGAATGGATGTGGATGCTCTGGAAAACGTACAGAGGAGGATGGCAAGGATGGTCTCATGTATCGGAGATCCTCCCTGTGAGGATGGACTGGGGGCCCTGAGTCTGCACTCTCTCGAAAGGCGTAGAATTGGGGGGGGATGTGATCGAGGTGTATAGGAATGGGTAAGGGGGGTGTGAATAGCGTGCTGAAGGTTTCCGGCCAAGACGGGGCTCGCAGCGGTGGCTTCAAGTTGTAATAAAGTTGGTAGAATTACCGACAATATGTAAAGTAAAAGGACACAAGTGCAACTAATGTGACATTTATTGTGGCAACGTTTCGCTCTCCAGGAGCTTTATCAAGCCATTACCATGGCTTGATAAAGCTCCTGGAGAGCGAAACGTTGCCACAATAAATGTCACAATGGCTTCAAGTTGGATGAGTGGAACAAACTCACGAGTACAGTTATAGAGACTAAAACGTTGTGTAGTTTCAAAAATAGGTTAGATAAATACATGAGCGGGTGCGAGTTGGACCTGACTAGCTTGTGCTGCTGGGTCTGGTACAGTGCTCCATCCTTGAGTGGAGATGATCAGACTGGGTGGGTCACTGGGCTAATCCGGGGGAGGTCATTGGTCTAATCAGAGGGGGGCATGGACCTGCTCTGCATGGGTCAGTAGGCCTGTTGCAGTGTTCCTTCTTTCTTATGTTCCTATGAGTCTATATCCATCCTGTAGTAAGGGGCCCAAAACTGAGCAGCATAATCTAAATGAGGCCTCACTAGTGATGTATAGAGCTGTAAAATAACTTTTGGACTTCTGTTACTTATACTTCTTGAGATAAATCCAGGTAATCTGTTGGCCTTGCTGCGCACACTAAGGCACTGCTGTCCTGGCTTTAGATTTCTGCTCACCATGACTCCCAAGTTCTTTTCACATTCTGTATGATCAATCTCTACTTTACCTAGATTATAGCTTCGAGGGTTATTTTCATTACCAAGGGCTAGTACCTTACACTTATCGACATTGAACTTCATCTGCCATTTTTCAGACCAAGACAGAAGATACTTGAAGACGATGTAATCAGTCCATCACCCTTAAAGTTTTGAGGTGGTCAGTCCCTCAGTCTGGAGAAGAGCATTGTTCCATAGTATGAAACAATATATCAATATGATATATTGAAAATCAATATATAAATATAAATATATCAATATATCAATATGATATATTGTTTCATACTATGGAACAATGCTCTTCTCCAGACTGAGGGACTGACCACCTCAAAACTTTAAGGCTTTCCAATATCCACCTCATTTTGCCTATTACTAGTTCTCCTAGTATTCATATTTGTAGATGAATGGTTCAGAGAACCGACATGTTGATAAATTAGACACATGTGCAACTCTTGGGTATTCATATTACTACACTGCGACTTCACAGTTTTCCCGCCAAAACCCATACCACTAACTATTCCTAGTTCAAAGACCTAACAGCTCCCTCCACTGCGAACATTAAAAACTTTAAGGGTGATGGACTGATTACATCGTCTTCAAGTATCTTCTGCTTCTATCAACTTTTCTGTACTCGACTGAAGAAGCCTACTGTGTAGGCGAAACGTTTCGAAATAAAGATACCTAACTGTTGCATATGTGTCTTACCTAACAACCTGTCGGTATTTTATACCATTTTAATGTTCAAAGCTTATTGCTTGGGTAGCAGTTATTCTGTTAGTGGGTTGGATTTGTGAGTGTTTGCAGTGTTCCTCCTTTCTTATGTTATCAAAGCTTATTTCTTGGGTAGCAGTGGTCTACAGTGTTTTTTTTTTTTACCATGGCAAATGAAGAATCTCTGATAAATATTCTTGAGGTTAGTGAGGAACATAGTTCCATCTTACATCCTCTAAAGCAGAATATATACAGGGAACACAGTGAGGTGCAGGAGGAGGGGGGGGGGGCAAGATGTAATAGTGACTTCTCGTCAGGTGACTAAGGAGTTTATCGTTTTAAGCACGATTCCTCCTCACTTCTGTTAGTACTTTTTTAAGTAGCCCCACCTTCTACACCTCACCTCAATATATTCCCCTTTGCATACAGTATAAGCCAATATATTACCGCCTTATAATAAACTGACAAACATGTACTTTAATGTCAAGTTATAAACTGACGGGAACACGCATTAAGTACATCAATACAGAAATCGCATCGTTTGACATCGTCGCACAGAAGTGCCAAGGAAAGTGAGCCAGAATATATACGAGGGGGGGAAATAGGAGTTGTTGAACGGGATGAGGTAGTAGTACTGTTAGTAGTTAGCATAAGTAGTGCAACAATTATACGTGGTAATATGAAAAAAAGACCAGAAAGAACGGAGGAGCACTACAGGAGGGCTAATAGCCCATAGGAGTTGGACAAAATCACTGAATAACCGTGGTCTCTAACTGAAAGAAGCATAGTTAGTGTCGGTTCCTAACAAGAGGAACAAGACTCCTAAAGTACCAGTGGCAGAAGAACAGGATTACCACAAAGAGTATTAGTGCTGTCAAGATTTAGGAGAAAGGGAAAGCAAAAGAGTTTGGAAGAGAAGAAAAACAGACTAAGTGAGTAGGCATGGCAGAAGCGGCTGGACAAGGGCTAATGACCTATGCTGTAGTAGTAGTAGTATTATAAGTGGAAGTAACTCTTCGTTGTTGTGATGGCAGGAGAATTCTTGTAAATTCCTCAGAAATAATGTACTACTAAGCACAACATGGGCCAGTAGGCCTACTACAGTACTTTTGTTCTTTCACCCTGTCTCCTTGTATTGTTTGAAATAACTTGACAAAGCTACTGGAGAGCGAAACATCGCTGCATGAAATAGGAAAGGTAGCGAGAGAACGAACTGTGAAGAGGAATATTTCCGAGTCAAGAAACTGATGTGGAGGGCACAGAAACAAGAACACGTTTCTTGACACGGAGCACAGGAGGAAAAGTAGTGAATGTACATGCCACTGTGCATGCGATGAACGGGAAAGGAAAAGGGAAAGGAAAAGCCTGTCACCAAACAGAGGGTGCAAGAATAGTTTGAGCATCGAGAAACGGTTCGAAGAGATTAAGGCACGCGGCCAAAGAACAGACATCTACATAGAGAAGCCAGAGAAGAGTAGGAAGCAGAACAGTTTCGAAATACTCCATATAAAGGTTCCAAAGTCCGAAGGACAGGGATCAGAGAGAGTCTGAAGTTTATGATAGAAAGATTTCTAGTTAGTGACGAGAGAAATGCGGAGTGCATGAGGGAGTGTTTACCTGGTAGGTTTACTAAATTTGTATAAAAGTAAACTAATGGATGACTTATAAACGGCGGTGATCTAAACTAATGCCAGAACACATTAATACAGTACAATATTTTTGTTAGTTTTCCAAACAACCTACGTGATTCGTGTACTTTTAACTATAAAAACTTATACCAAATATATATAATCTAATATGAATTAAACGAAATCACTTATTATTATCTAACTTTAATCAACAAAAACCTTCATATTTATCTAAATTAAATAACAAATCAATCGCACTATACATAACGAAACAAAGATGTGTTGCAAAAATAGAACGTAATAAACTGTTGAAAAGGATCAAGTAATGACAGCACAAAACAACAAAAATCAGGTAACTGCGCGTACAACAAAGATTATTCAGGTCACAACACACCAAGCAACGTGGTAGTCAATGGCGACTCGGATTTACAGACAGCGAGCTTATCTTTTCAAAAGATATTCTGATAGGCAAAAAGGCAAATATGCAGCCTGATACATTTATTAAAGGGCCAAGTTTCACCCACCAGGGGTTTGTTAACAATACATATATGTATTCGCTGGTAGGCGAAATGCTGCCTCAATAAATGTCAAAATGCATAGGTGACCATTTCCCTAACTATCAAGGGTATTTTGGATAAAATAAGCTTCTATAATTATTAAAAGGCCTTGGACTAAGCAACCTTGGTAACGTGTCAAGATGCGTGTTTGAGGTTGCCAATCTTCCTGTTTAGGACAGGGTTGGTGGGAGTGTAAGTTAGGTCAGGTGGGTTAGTACTTAAGGATTAGATAAACAGACTAGTTGACAAGGGGGTTACTAAATATTTTAAAAGAGAATAAGCCACCAGACAGAATATAAGGGCAAGTGGATGCAATAGAAAGACAGTAAGGTATGAGAAGCTGCTGGATTAATACAGGCAGAGTTGCAAGCCAGAGTGGATGGATTATCAGTTTGGAATGCATTGCAAATCAGTGAGATAGCTAACTACATATGGTCGTAGATGGGTTAGAAGCAAGTCCAAGAGATTGCATATTAGAAGAGACAAATGCTGGACAGCAAGTGAGTTAGTGATATGTTAAATTGGATAAATGGTTACACACTAGTTAGCCAGTGGATAAAATAGGAGGATATAATGCATCGTAATGCTATGCATAGTATAAGTGGCTTTGGCATGCTGCTCTTATCTGTATTTTTTGTACCTCTGGATGTATGCTCAAATTGTTAATAAATAAATAAATAAATAATAAAAATGCAGGCAGGTTAGCAAGAATACACTAAAGTTACACAGTAGTTAGTAAGCTAGTGCGTGAGATAGCAGGCTAGACTGGAAAACTGCTAGCAGGTTAGCAAGGCTGAAGTGGCGGGATAGCCTGTTAGTAACCTGGGGAGGGTGGCGCGTGAGGCATGTGATAGTTGGCGAGGCCTGCGTTCAGCTGGTGGTCCTGCGTGTCCACGCGGTTGACATGGAACCGTTTCCTCTTGTCCCCACTCAGCACCGTCTTCATCTTGGCCCTGGCTTCAACACTCCCAACCTGATACCACTTAACAGCTATGCCTTAAAAGGTACATTACCTGGATTGTAAAACGCTTATAACACCTAAAGATATCTAATGCTTGTGAAGGAGTTGTTATGAAAGTGTCTACGATGTTTTGCAGCTAGTAGTAGCCACTGTTCCTTCAAGCTCGTAAAAGTAATCCTGTTTTCCCGGTGTTAGCCTTTTCTCCAGAGCACAAGACGAACCCTGGTACAACCCGAGTAAAGACTAATTTTGTTCCAATCGTGATTCTCCGCCTCATTGATTTCATGTTTCAACAATTACGTGGATACTGGATCTTAACACTAATTTGTTTTTTGCTTTTTTTTTACAAATTACGAACTTATACCTGCGGGTGTGGTGACATTAACAATTAATATAATATTTTCGTGGATTGCCCTGGGCAATTTCTCCATTAGTTTTAAACCGAACAATTTCTTCATTGTGGTTACCTTCGGTATCGGAAAGGTTGATCATCTTGAATATGAAGAAACGAAGCACACAACCGCTCTCTACACAGGTCTCTCGTATACTGACTTGCGCTCGCTCGCAACAACCACCTTATATACCCCCCCCCGTCCATCCATCCACGGCATCCCGTCCCCTGGAACCATACACAAACCCCAGATAACTCCCATCCCGCCCTCCCCACACAGCCGGCGACTCCCTGATATTCCATGAGGTTCAAGCTAGACATAATAGTAAATTTTTATTCAGGTACACAAGGTTTGTACCACAGATACGCATAAATACTGTTACATAAATTATCATACAGAGCAGCATATGTGTAAAGTAAAAGGACACAAGTGCAACTAATGTGACACATTAGTTGCACTTGTGTCCTTTTACTTTACATATTGTCGGTAATTCTACCAACTTTATTACAGCATATGTGTAGTTACCAAAGATAACCCAGACCAAGTGACTTACTTCCACTGGCGTCCTAGATTTTTTTATTCAAACAATCAGTACATAACTTGTACTTTTTTAAAACGATCATCAGGGCACACAGATAATGTTAATACTCGCGTATAGAAATAAATCACGTTATTGTTATAAAAGACACGTATGTAAACACCAGGAATTGCTACCACTACTACAGCCACACAGTGGCGTCATCAGCCCATACAAAGGAGAATGGTGAAGAACCGGAGTTTGAGGTAATCACTCCCTCAGCCTTGAGTCGATTTAACCAGTCCATCAGTCTTTTCAATATTTTCAAGATTGTTATTAGGTAAGACACATATACAACAGTTAGGTATCTTTATTTCGAAACGTTTCGCCTACACAGTAGGCTTCTTCAGTCGAGTGCTGTGAACACTAACTCCAAGGCCGAGGGTCTGATTACCTCATCTTTTGTATATAGTTCTACTGTCTTCCTATTATGTCCTAGAATCTGTATTGATAAAGCCACTGGATGGCGAAACGTCTACTACAATAAAGATATCCAGATGTTGCACATGTGTCTTAACTTTCAAAGTTGATAGAAGCAGAAGAGACTTGAAGACGATGTAATCAGTCCATCACCCTTAAAGTTTTGAGGTGGTCAGTCCCTCAGTCTGAAGAGCATTGTTCCATAGTCTGAAACAATATTGTTTCAGTCCATCAAGTCAGTCCATCAAGATTGATGGACTGACCACATCGACTCAAGGCTGAGGGACTGATTACCTCATTCTCCTCCAGTTCTTCAAGTTTCTCCTTTGTTGATAAATTAGACTCCTGCCACTATATATATAAATGTTTTCTTAGTTTTCTCTGTATTAGGACTGAAGAAGCCACTCGTGGCGAAACGTTTCCTTTAATAAATGTCCTGAACTGTACATAAGTGAACATTAAAATGGTATAAAATACCGACAGGTTGTTAGGTAAGACACATATGCAACAGTTAGGTATCTTTATTGTGAAACGTTTCGCCTACACAGTAGGCTTCTTCAGTCAAGTACAGAAAAGTTGATAGAAGCAGATGATACTTGAAGACGATGTAATCAGTCCATCACCCTTAAAGTTTTGAGGTGGTCAGTCCCTCAGTCTGGAGAAGAGCATTGTTCCATAGTATGAAACAATGGTGTCATGGGGTACGGGAGTTATTTCTTGGGTAGCTTTAGGTAGAGGTCGTTTTGATAAGGACCTGCCTCGTATGGGCCAGTAGGCCTTTTTCAGTGTTCCTACATTCTTATGTTCTTATGTTAACTCTTGGGTATCTTTATTTAGGAAACGTTTCACCACACAGTGGTTTCATCAGTCCATACATAAGTACATAAGAACATAAGAAAGGAGGAACACTGCAGCAAGCCTGTTGGCCCATACAATTCATCCCACTAATAAAGCAACCCAAATTTTCAATGCTACCAACATAAGAACATAAGAAAGGAGGAACACTGCAGCAGGCCTGTTGGCCCATACTAGGCAGGTCCTTTACAAACATTTGACCAACCCAATTTTCAATGCCACCCAAGAAACAAGCTCCGATGTGCAAGTCCCACTCAAATCCAACCCCTCCCACTCATGTACTTATAAGAACATAAGAACATAAGAAAGGAGGAACACTGCAGCAGGCCTGTTGGCCCATACTAGGCAGGTCCTTTACAATTCATCCCACTAACAAACATTTGACCAACCCAATTTTCAATGCCACCCAAGAAACAAGCTCCGATGTGCAAGTCCCTCTCAAATCCAACCCCTCCCACTCATGTACTTATCCAACCTAAATTTGAAACTACCCAAAGTCCTAGCCTCAACTAGGTAGACTGTTCCACTCATCAACTACCCTATTTCCAAACCAATACTTTCCTATGTCCTTTCTAAATCTAAACTTATCTAATTTAAATCCATTACTGCGGGTTCTCTCTTGGAGAGATATCCTCAAGACCTTGTTAATATCCCCTTTATTAATACCTATCTTCCACTTATACACTTCGATCAGGTCTCCCCTCATTCTTCGTCTAACAAGTGAATGTAACTTAAGAGTCTTCAATCTTTCTTCATAAGGAAGATTTCTAATGCTATGTATTAATTTAGTCATCCTACGCTGAATGTTTTCTAACGAATTTATGTCCATTCTGTAATATGGAGACCAGAATTGAGCTGCATAATCTAGGTGAGGCCTTACTAATGATGTATAAAGCTGCAGTATGACCTCTGGACTTCTGTTGCTTACACTTCTTGATATAAATCCCAATTACATTTAGAATTGAATGGAAGTATGATAGTAGGGATAATTCAGTAACAGTCCCGGATTTTCGCTTAGCAGATTACGATGGTCTTAGAGAACACTTATCATCTGTTGACTGGGGTAACGAAGAGAGCTATCAATATGACAGTTTTCTGAATACAATACATGCTGCTCAAAGAACGTTTATCCCTTATAAGGAAATTAGATCAAATAGAAATGACCCAAAATGGATGAATAATAGGCTGAAATATCTACTAGGGCATAAGAAAGGAATTTATAGGCGTATCAAAAGAGGCGAGGGTCACCTTATGAATCAGTATATTGACATTAAGAGGGACATTAAAAAGGGGATAAGAAAAGCTAAAAGGGACTATGAAATTAAAGTTGCTAGGGATTCTAAAACTAACCCAAAAAGTTTTTTCCAGGTATATAGAACAAAAGTCAGAGATAAGATAGGTCCCCTTAAAAATAACTATGGGCATCTTACTGACAAAGAGAATGAAATGTGCTCGATTTTAAATAATTATTTTCTCTCGGTTTTTACACAGGAAGACACTAATAATATTCCGGTAATTAATTTTTATAGTGGATCAGAAGAAGATAAATTATGTAACATCACAGTCACTAGTGAAATGGCTGTGAAGCAGATAGACCGACTGAAGCAAAATAAGTCACCGGGTCCTGATGAGGTTTTTTCAAGGGTTCTTAAGGAATGCAAAATGGAAGTCTGTGAACCATTAACTAATATTTTTAATTTATCTCTTCAAACAGGTGTAGTGTCTGATATGTGGAAGATGGCTAATGT